GTCTCTATGGTTTGTCTGGTAGGAGGGGCTTCCACTATAAAGGCAGTGGGTAGATGCTCCTCAAGGGGTAGTTAAGCTTGGGCCTGGAGGACGTGTGGATGAGAGCCCATGAGAGAGTGGCTTAGTAACAAGTATTTGACTTCAGTTTGAAGAGTTTTGATTATTTGTTTAGTATCCTTTCAATTTTTTTTTCAACTATGTACATTCTCACATTGTACCTGCACGGGACTGGTAACTAAAATAAATTTATGCACCAGGTGAAGATCTCACATCATGTCTCCTTCTTCCACCATGGGGCACAATATTACGTCATATAGAATAATCAGTCATAGGGACCAAATCAGAAGAAGAAGAATGCCTTTATTGTCATTGAACAGGGTGTACAATGAAATTATAGAAAAGGAAATTATAGATCAGTACCATATCCCCATACTCTGCGGGGAAAAAACCTTTAAAAAGCGTATTTTCTGCTAACATTTATGTTCTTCCTACTCAGGAAGGATTTTTCATACAGGACTTAACTTAATGAAATGTATCTTTACATTATATATAGTGGATTTTCTCACTACTATGATTTGAATACTTTGTCCACCACAGCATAAAAGGGAGACCCCCAACCTGTATAACAAAAATGTCTATTTGGAAAAGATAAGACTGATCATATGAAAGCATCCAAATAAGTAATAAACTCTTCTCAACAGGGACTTCAGATGTTTTATTTGGGATCTGCTCTCTAATCCATACTCGGTACAGATGATCTTATAAACTATCCCAGCCACTTTGTTGCCTCCCAGTATATGCTGTCGAAGCCTGCATCTTAAACCCTGCTACTGTGTGCTGGACTGTCTCAGGGGCATCTAGGGTCTTATCTAAAATTGTGGACTTCTGGGCCGTGGTTTTGGTTCGAGAATGGACCAGGAGCAGGGGCCCAGAAGAGGAGCAGGCATCTTCACCGGCGTCGGAAGTAGGAAAGCACTTTACATGCATGTGAATTTCTTGATTGTCTTATTAATCACCTAAGAAACAACTGACTGCCCATTACTTGGACAAGCATTTGAGTGGGGAAGAGCATCAAGGGCTAGAGGAACACAAGGTCATACTAAAGAGTGAACAGTTTATAAAAAGACTTTGACCTCAGTATGATTCTCCATCTTTCCAGATCTTGGCTGTTAATTTTTTTGGGGCAACTTTTCTGTTGTTCCTTTTGTTTTGATTTTAATTTACATATTTTAAACGTCCAATGTATACACTGTAAATAATTGACTGTCAAAATTACAGTAAATACGTAGCAAAAGAAGATGCCAATGAAAAGTATTGTAAAAATGCTGTTGTTTCTGTAAAAGAATTACAGTACATTACAGGAAACCTTTTCACAGGTTCTTGTGAAAATTTGCTGTTGTTTACTGTAATCTAGTTTACAACAGTATCTTGTATTCTATTCAAATTATAGAATTTAACTGGCAAGTTGCCGATAAATTGCTGTTAATAAAAACTAAAAGATTTTACAGTTAAACATTTTTACATTAATAGCTTTGCAAATTATAGATATTGTGGAATGTCATCACTAGGATTATATATTCTATTCATGCCAACTGATCCCTTTCACTTAATGGTACAGTGTGTCGAATTAAGTGATGTCTAGTGTTGAAATTGCATGTTGCAGCTGAACACCCCTCACCTCACCCTCTCCTTACGAACATGAAAAAGAACCTGTGATAAACTCCAGTCGTCATAAAAACTTAAAAGGTGTTTAATTTGTCCAGTCTGGACTAATGTAAAAAAAAGGTGGCCTCCGTAGAGAGGGTCCCCCTCAATGTAAATATAAAGTATTTATATATTAAAGGCCTTTTAAAAAAAGAAAACTACAAATCATACAATTTGGATAAAATGAGGATTATTTTATATATACATTTCTGCCAAAAGATCCCTTTCACCTAAATCTTACTCACTGGATCTTTAATAACCTGAGATGACTTTCCTTTTTCCAAAAAAACTACTAAGCTCAGAGTCTGAGCTACAGATGTCAGAAAAAAAAGTCACATTACAAGAAAGATTATGTCAATTTAAATATTTCAGGATAATCTTTAAACCTGTCAGCCACGAATCGCAACATAGTCAGGTGGTATTAAAACTGACCGTGTACTAGGCTTAAATAACCAATCTCAAAATAGGACCCGAGGTAGAAATCTGTTAACAGCGGAGCCTGCACCGGAAGCGACCCCACAGTGATGTCTGCAGGTAGACGCCTCTCGATCAGTCGCAGCTAAAGCCGAACGCACCCATAACGCAGCCAGAGCCAAGACACTGGCCCTTTAACGACTGGAGCGCTCCATTCATATTCATAGGGGAGAACTGGCTGGCTGACATTCAGCCGGACCAGTAATACTTTAAAATACAATGAGGACGGGGGATATACTGAAGGAGACCATAGACAGAGCCTGCGTGTGACTGTGGAAATAATCACAGCTGCTATCAAACGTAGTCAGGGTTCATCCAGCCGCACTCCGCACACCCGCTCCGCTGCCTGCGTGTCGGTGGGGAGACTGAGCTGCTGGGAGCTGCAACAAGGCAGCGAGCCTTAGGACGACACCTCCCAGGAAACAAGACCTGTGGTTCCAAAATAAAAGCCAACGCGGGAGTCAACTCCCCTTGCGAAGCGACTGCTGTGTGTAAAATAACAAACGCCAATATGTTTTTATTATCGAGCGATGACTCTTCTATTTTACTCATTAGGATTCATTTTTAAAACTTTTTAATTTTGAAACACCACTGCAGGTTAAAATTAAAGACATGATAAAAACATGTTGCTGATTATTGAATTAAAAATTATTGGATAGTTTCTTATATTTAAACTACAAACAACTAGGGACACTGTTTCAGATGGTTGCTCAAGTTTAATCAGAACAAGCCGACGTTCCCTTTTTGTTTTACATAAAAACGAACAGTGTCAGGCGTTCTTTTTTATAATATGTAGCAACTTAACTGAGACTTCCCAATGTTTAACAAACACCTCTTAACATCACATACATTTACAGTGAATCGTGGCAAACATCTGACCGTTACTGTGAAAGTAGTGACCGGAAATGCAGCCTTGTTGCCATGCGGCGTGACAGTGGGGCTGCTGGCTGGGAACAGGATGCTGACAGGCCGAGCAGACGCACCGATCCAACGGAGAAAAACCGCAGCAGCATCCTTTGTTTTCAGGAGCGGCATATCCAGGTAAGGTCGCCGAACCAACTCAGCTGTGATGCCAGAGAGGCCGCCTGTTGAACTTTTCACGGCTGGGGGCTTAGTGACGCTGTTAACGTTATGTCCGACCCGTGTTTTTCTCCGTTTTTCTGTCATGTCGGAAATATGGCTATTGTTCGGATTAGTGTGAGGCGGGCAGGAACCTTTGCCTCACCGCAATGTTTGTCTGTTGGGCTGGTTAGTGATGCTGGCAGGGGCTGTGTGCTCCTCGGTTATATAAGCAGCACTGTGCGCCCTCTGTGAGGCGGTACAGCGCTGGCCCCGGCTCAGGAACACCATATTCCGGACTGTGGGACACCCATGGCTGTGCTGCTTTTGCAGTGGGGGTTTGGCATTGCATTGCACCACCACCAGCGCGCATGCACGCATTGCACATGATCCTGTGTACATTGCGCTTTCATTCCTGAGATTCCAGCTCGTCTCTATTTGTCTTTTCATATCTTGGTGTCATTATTAAATAACATGTTGCACGTTTTCAAGTACCCTCCTGTGTAGATGAACAGAAAGTCACACGTTGTTTTTAAAGGTCCAGTGTGTAAGATTTAGGTGAAAAGGATCTATTGGCAGAAATTTAATATAAAATAACACTAGGGATGTTTTCATTAGTTTGTTTCATCTAAATTGTATGAATTGTTGTTTTCTTTCTCCTAGAATGGGCTCTTTATATTTAAATACTTTAAATTCACATCGGGAGGGGGTCCTCTCTATGGAGGCCGCCATGTTTTTTTTTTTTACAGTAGCCCAGACTTTTGAGTTTTTATGAGAACTGAAGGTATCCACAGGTTCTCTTTAATGTTTGGAAGGGGAGGGTGAGGTGTCAACACTAGATGTCACTAAATTCTACACACTGAAGCTTTAAGTGCAAGGGTTTGTAAGACAAGTCACACTAATAATGGCTAAAGAAAAGCATTATTATTACACTGCCCGAATGCAATCAATAAACACTTTAGTTAAATTACAATTATGAAGCTAGGTGGAGGCTGAAGAACATGTGTCATTTCTCAATAAAAACTATACCCATTTCCAAAGAAAGTAAGCCAAGGATACATGAACTAGTCAATACATTAACTAGAAATACACTGGAGGTGTGGAATATAATTAAGAGGTACTGTGAAGTGTGAGATGATGGATGACCTGAGAGAGATAAAGGAAGAACCTGAATTAAATAGGTATAAAAAAGATACAGCTTTTAATACTTGAGCAAGAAAAGGACTGACCGTATTTAGGCAAAAATACAACTTATCACACTCACACTTCTTCGGCTACCTACAAATGAGAAGTAACATTCACAATAGCAAGATAGGAAGGAAGAACAACGGTGAAGTATCACATCAAGTCTCAGACCTCTATGCTATCTTAGAAAGCAGTCACGTGCAACACGATACAATGGTAAAACTAAAAGTGGAAGAAAAATGTAATATATGTATATATCTGAGGAAAGTTGGAAGGAAATGAATCGTATTGTACAACAACTACAATATCTCCTTACTGGAGTGAATATGCATGGAAAATATAAATATGCTGCTTTGCTACCTTAACACAGCAACCGAAATATAATAAGAAAAAAACCCCATCAAACCGCTGTAGGGAGTGTGGCGAATCCTTTGCTAATTTTAGTCATGTTTTTTGGTCTTGCCCATCAGTATAATTATTCTGGAATAAAATCAGGTTGGAAATCAATATTATTCCAAAAGGGGTCCTCCAACTGAACCCAAATCTTGTGGTGCTATGCAAAATTAAAGACAAATACAAAACAAACATGATAAATACTTGTTAAGGATACTGCGCATATCAGCACAGATAACAAGAAATTTGCTCCAGAAAGTATGTCCCCAAACAGAGAAATGGAGATACAGTTCAGTGTTCAACAAATGTATCAAATGGAATATCTAACTCACAAAATGAGGGGGGACTAAAACCTGTTTTAAAAGAGATTGTCTAAATAGTGAGTGAATAAAAATTTGTGGAATGTGATGCTGCATGACACTTAGAGGAGCATTACCTTACCTAAAGTAAAGCATTACTTTACTTTTTGCTTTTTGTTCTCTGTCTCACATAATTTAGGTTTCAGTTGCATTTTTTTCTGTATTTGTATATTTGTAATTTTTTTGTACAACTGTATGTATATATGTATTAATATGTATGTCTGGGTGACACACATTTGCGTACACTGTGACATGGATGAGATGCATCTGGTGATGTGATGACAACAAATTAAAAAAAATTTTTTTAAAGTAATGAAAACAAAAAACTCACTAAAAAGGGTGTAGTCTGTAGATTATTTTTTGGCCTTTTGGCACATGTAATATCAGCTGTGTGAAGTCAAGCAGCAAAGACTGGTGCTTACAGTTTATTCTGTGTTCAGCAGGTGGAAGTATGTGTGACGATCACAGGTTACCTCAGCAAGAGCTGATGTACTGAAAGATATAAACAAATATGCTGAATGTCTTTCTAACTCATCTGTAATATTCAAGGTGATAATCTCTCACAGTGCTGTTGATCACAGTCCAGGTCAAATCTCTCGACTTCTCTCAGTGTCAGAATATATTAATTAGAGTACTGTCTGGGTTTCTCCTGCATATCTTCCTCTCTGTCTCTCTCTTGCAGACAGCCAGACACACGCACACACACAAACAGTGTCATCGGACAGTTGTAAATTCAGACTTAAAAACATTAGGCAATGTATGGAGAGCTGGAGGAGATGGCAGGGCGCTCTTGATTTGGCTTGATTTGTTTGGCAGTGAGCAGCGCATATGACAGACATAGAGAGGAGCAGTAAATTACTGACAGAGCCGGTTAAACTATAAATGAAAACAATTTTGCGGTCCATCATGTATGAAATGTCCCAGAATGAACACTATAAGCAGACTAAGTGGAGCTGTGCATGGACCCCAGGGTGTCTTCCCCAGGCTTGGTGGCACTGTCGCCGGGCTGTGTGCACTCTGGCATTTGCAGTGGAGCTGTCCTGGGTCCTCGGGTCAGTGCCCCTGTGCCGTGTGCTCTGCCGGCAGTGGAGCTGTGCAGGGCTCCCAGGTGTGTCCCATAGTCAATGTGCTGTAAACAAAAACAATTTATACTATATATTATGTCCTCTCTCTGCCTTCCGCATCACCCCTCACCTGAATCATCTTGAGGATTTGCTGCTGATGTGAACTCATCTGAGCAGATAATCTCCCACTGTAATGTTCATGTATGAAAGGCAACCTATGGAGAAAGTCTGGTCCTAATTTTCCAGAGAGCCTCTGGATGTCATGTCTGAAAATTGCTTTATTTCTCTTGACTACAGATTTAAGATCAAACAATTTTTTCATTCCATCAACTGTGTAACCTTTACTGAATGTGTAATTGCATCCCGTGTATCATTTTATTTTCAATTTCTGTGTGTACAGACCTGTTATATAGGCATTAACCTACCTATGACAGCACAGACTTTTAATATAAGAAGACAATCGCATTCATGAATGGAATGGAACATGTCATGAATTCTCTTCTGAACTTTCTGAATAACAAGTTTAAGAAAAAACATATTTAACATGATGACTTAGGCCCCATCCCATTCACAGGAACACGAAATCTTAAGAATGCTTTGATAGAATTATCTCAAACTATTCACTTGGACTCAATGATGAACTGATTACATTTCGGTGGTCAAAGGTCAAGTCACTGTGACCTCACAACAAATATGTTTTGCCTTCTGAATGCAATATCCCCGAAACAACTTTAGGAAATTCTTTCACATTTGGACCAAAAATATACTTGAGCTTGGATTTAATCTTGGTAGCCCATGGTCAAAGGTCAAGGTCACAGTGGCCTAAAAACTTGTTTTTGAGGGAGTGTCTTCAGATTTGGGGCAAACTTTGACTTTAACTCAAAGATAAACTGATTAGATGTTGGTACCTGGAGGTCAAAGGTCAAGGTCACAATTACCTCATGTTACTGTGTTTCAGTCGTCAAAAGTAAGGTAATAGTGACCTTTATATGAAAAAAACATAGGTAGAAATATGTTCACAGATACTGCACTGGTTGGAGGCATGCAAATATAGTGTGGTAATTCTAGTTTAAATTAATAATCATAATGCATCAGTTATTTCTTCCACATACTGATACCTTACACCTTCTGTGTGTATGTGTGTGCATATGTACTGTGGCATTCTAATATATTTGTGTGTCATTGCTATCCCTGCTCTGGTTGCTTGGTGCATGATGTCACAATCTTACTTAAACCCCATTGGCTATTTCTTTCTCTCTCTTTTTATATCCTGATTTCAGATTGTGTGGCGAGCTGAAAAGAGAGTTGACGGGGCTGAGAAGAGGCAGTGAGGCTTTCATTTCCTGCCATCCTCTGCTTTTCCTAGGGCCCTGTGGAAGCACTCATCCACACCACTGTCCTCACTTCTCAGCACTCTCTTACCTCCTTTCCATTGTGTCACTGCTCTCCCTGTCTCTTTACATTCATCTTTCTGTCCATCTTGCTTGAAGAGTAGTTCCAAACCTTTGAACCACAGACTAATAGAGACCTCTCATCAAAGACCAGTGAAGAGCTGCGGACAGAAAGAGACTGTCCTTCTCATGCAATGCAGTAGAATAATGGCTCAGGCAATGAGGAGGATCAGGAGCTTCATCTCATTCTAAACTTTCTCTTCTCCACCTTGAGTCTTCATGTTTTGGGGGTCCTGCGGTTTCCCTGCCCTCTGTCAAACCCCCTGCACGTCCAGCCACCACGGCCGGCCACCCCAGTCGCCTCTTTGCCATGCCGACAGAGACACTGCCACAAGACCTGCCAGATAGCAAGGCTGCTGGCCCTGCGACGGCCTTCAATTCTGCTGTACCCCTCCGCATCCTCAACAAAGGCCCTGACTACTTCAGGAAACAGGTACTGTTACATTACCCTGGAATCTGCTACTTTCTGTGTAATAATAATAATAATTACAAACATTAAAGTTGAAAATTAGATAAACAACATTTTATATATACTGTATCATACTGGGCAATGCAAAATATGCTGCTCAAAAAAATAAAGGAAACACTTAATCATCACAGTATAACACCAAGTCAGTTAAACTTCATTTGCATCAATCTGTCCATTTAGGAAGCACAAGTGATTGTGAATCAGTTTCACCAGCTTTGGTGCAAATGAAAGTGACAACAGGTGCAATGGAGGCAAAAGCAAGACAACCCCCAAAAAGGGAATGGTTTTACAGACAGCTGCTCTCTTCTTATCCTTCCTGACGGATTCTTCCTTAGTCTTGTGTTCTGCTTGTGTCCTTGTCACTACTGGTAGCATGAGGCGGTAACTGAAGCCCAATCAGGTCTTAAGAACATGGAGGAGATAGCAGGAGACCAGCAGTTACACAAGGAGAACTGGACAAGGCTGTAGAAGGGCATTAACCCAGCAGCAGGACCAGTATTTCTGCCTTTGTGCTAGGAGGAACAGGAGGAGCACTCCCAGAGCCCTACAAAATGACCTCCAGCGGGTTACTGACCAAATTTCAGAAACAGACTCCATTAGGTTGGCATGAGGGCCCGATGACCTCTGGTGGGACCTGTGCTCACAGCTTAGTACTGTGCAGCTCAATTGGCATTCGCCAGAGAACAACAGAATTGGAAGGTCCGTCTTCACAGGTGAGAGCAGGTTCACACTGAGACAGGCGTGAAAGAGTCTTGGAGAAGCTGTGGTGAACATTATGCTGCCTGTAACATCATCCAGCATGACTTGCTTGGTGGTGGGTCAGTGATGGTCTGAGGAGGCATATCCTTGGAGGGTCGCACAGACCTTCATGTCATAGCCAACCGTACCCTGACTGCTGTTGAATGAAATCCTCCGATCGACTGTCAGACCTTACTTTGGTGCAGTGGGCCCTGGGTTCCTCTTGGTTCAGGACAATGCCCAGCCTCATGTGGCCATATGGATGACGAAGGTATTGATGCTGTTGACTGGTCCTCACATTCCCCTGACCTAAAATCCAATTGAGCAACTATGGGAAGTTATGTATAGGTGTATCTGATGCAGCGCAGTACCACCACAGACTGTACAGGAGCCCACTGATCCAGGTCTGGGAGGAGATCCCCCAGGACACAACCAGGACACTCCACAGGAGAATGCCCAGACGTTGTCTGGAGGCCATACACACTATTGAGTCACATAATGAGTTGTCATGATGAAATTCACACAAGTTGGACCAGCCTGTGATTTTAATTTTTTTACTTTGATTATCAGTTTGGTTTTGAATCCAGCCCCTTAATGGGGTTGATGATTTTGGTTTCCATTGACCCTTGTTATGTCATTTGTTCTCAACAAATTATACAATGCACATCAGTAAAGAATTTCAACTTGAATAATTTGTTCATCAAGATCTGATATTTTTGAGCAGTCCCCCTATGACAAACACAGGATTTATTGAAGTCAGAGGACAAAGTTTATTCTTTCCCCCTCTGTTAATGGTTTCCATGGACCTTGTATGCTTTAGCCCTTTTGTGATTGCATTTCCACTTCTCTTGTCCTGACTATGACCAACAAGTGATGGTATCCTGTCTTCAGCTACAGTATGTCCTCTACTGCCACTCAATTAACATAAACGATGTGGAGTTTAATGTGGAGCAGTTATATTATTACTGATACCTGATCATTTAACTTCAGATCAGTAGCAGTACTTACACTGATCCAACAGATTGGATCGGTATTTGCTGCTGAGAGCCATCGTGAAATTAATGAGAGTAGCTCCAGTAGTAAAGCTGAGTGTTCTGGTTCTGTTAGCATGTTGGCTCAGTGGTAAGTGCTATTGTATGGCTCTGCCCTGATGCATGTTGGTTTTGCTCTGGATATGTATGGATGAATAGATAGAATATGTGTGTTTAAAAGATGGATGAGTTTTGTAATCATTAACATACACTATGCTAAATCTGTGTTTCAGGTGGAAGCTAACCCAAAGCGCCTCAGTGCTGTTGAGAGACTAGAAGCTGACAAAGCCAAGTATGTCAAGAGCCAGGAAGTTATCAATGCCAAGCAGGAGCCTATCAAACCAACCGTGCTGGCCAAGCCTACTGTCTGCCACCCACTGCTGTCCAAGAGAGGCTCTGGGATTGGTGGAGGAGGAAATGGAGGCGGGATACCTTTCAAAGCATCGAATAACAATGCAAAGTCAGACACATGTGCAACAAGCAGTGGCGGCAGCAAACGGGAGAATTTAAACCTAGAGATACTAAAAAATCTCCTAAATTCATCATCCTCCTCAGGAGCTGGACCTGAAGGACTAGGAGGTGGAGCTAAGAGTGCTGTGCTGATGAGGCCATCAGGGGAAATGGCCAAGAGTTGGATGCCAACAGGGTAAACATTGCAACCCCTTTGTATTTTGTAAATTACTAGATTCAGTCGCTGTTTTCATGTGTCAGTAAAACAGACTCAAATTGGCAGTTCTTATTTGATATGAGAGCCATTTCTGGGTTGATACAGACATTGGGCCTCATTCACCAACAGTTCTTAGTTCTTAGTTCTAAGAAATTTCTTTTTAAAACACACTTACGCAGTTTTTATGAAGATTCTAACATTCACCAATGTTATCTTATCTGGATTTGTTCTTAGGTAAGTACAGAATCCACACAGGCTCAGTTTTTTTTATACTTTTAATCATACAGTTGTATAATAAGATAAAATTACCATAATATTTTATCCTTTTGAAGAGGGGAAAACCCACACGGGATATGGTCAGCAAAAGATAACAAGTATTTAACACTAACATTTTGAATAGGAACATATCTTAGGTTTTACACGCTAGTGTTTACATATTTAATGTGTCACATTTAGTTAAAATGTTTGTCCAAGTGTAGCCTGTTAATTCTGAAAACTGAGTTTGTTTCTGTTCTGAAACGAGAGATTGCTCAAGAGATGCAAATGCACCACACAGTGCGCACCCCACCCAGGTCTGTGGACACACCCAGGTCAGTGGGTTCAGTGGGACCTAAACGCGAATATTATTCAAAACATTTTGTCTGAACCTAGCCCAGCATGTCCGGGCCCGATGGGTCCAATCAGGATCAGGTCGAGTAAACCCAGATGCTCAGTAGAGGCTTCACCTGCAGTGCTGTGTTTCACTGCGGACACCGCAGAATATAAAAACGTTCTTACAATTTACGAGTCAGGAACGGCGCAGAAGCTTTATTGTCAAGAAGCTTTATTGTCATTGCAACAAGTACAACGAAATTTTGTTCGGTAGCATCTCTTGTATTGTAGCATTAACATTACTTGTAAAATCTGGGGAGCACAGTCTTTAGGTTGGTGTGGTTTAAGTCTCCAGCCACGATGAAAAAGCCCTCTGGGTGTTTGTTCTGTTGCCTGATTTTGTTCAATCTTTCCTGACTTTTCAAATATTCCTTTCAGTTTCTGTGATTTCTGTGTGCACACAGCATTATAGTCTCATGCCCTTTTATGGGTATTGGTGGGGAATTTACCTATGCTAATTAGGAAGAACTGACACGTGCTACCAACACATTCATCAAAATAAGAACAGAGATGCGGACAAATCTGCAGTTTAAGAACATGTCATAAATCTAACAGAGTTTTCTTAGAATACTTCTTAAGAACAAATTTAAGAACATTCTTAAGAATATATTGATGAATGAGGCCCAATGAAGATATTTATCTTGGCTCTATGAAATCCGGTCAGTCGTGGATGTTTTGTTGTGTGGGGAAGTCTGGATGGATTCGAGAGCTGTGATCTAAAAGAGTAGTGGGTATTCAATTCAATTTTATTTGTCCTGTGCCAAATCACAACATACGTTATCTCGAAGAACTTTACATAATATGATATGGTAACAGTGGTAGTATAAGTAGTTATGAGGTAACCCTGTGCATTTTTTTGAATATGTGAAGGTTCAAGATAAAAGGCAGATGACCTCTTCATTATTACATTTATTTCTTTTTCTTTTTTCTATTCCTAGGATTCCATTAACATATCGATCTACAATGACACTTAATGAGCGACCACCAGACTCAGGTCCCAGTCCAAGCACCTCACACTCTCTCCGCTCCTTCTCCCATTCCCTGAAGGTCCCCCCCATCAACAGTGGGGGGCGTCATAGTCCACTACAAGGAGGAAACCTCAACCTCAGCAGAAAAGTCCTGGATGAAAGAGGAGGCAAGGGAGTTGTTGATCGCTCTCGTTCTCCACTACCACCTCTGCTCACCTCCCACTCCTCCTCTGACCTCTTGCGACTGTGCAATGGCAAGCCACTCCGCACTGCCCGATCCAGCAGCTCCTCAGCTCCTCCCCTCCCTCCAAAACCTAACCCTGCATCTCTTCCTCCTCCCACACTTTCCTTTTCACTGCGTCCCCCTCAACCAACTCCATCTGCCTCACCCTGTGACAACACCACCCCTCAATCGCTACCGTGTGATTTTGGAGACCCTTCCAATACTTCAATCAATCCCAACCTGGAGGTAGAGCTTGGGTCCTCTGTGGCTTGTCGCTCCTCACTACACAGATCTAAATCAGACCTGTCAGACCGGTATGCCCGGGCTGGAGCTGATGTGGAACGCTTTTTTAACTACTGTGGCCTCGACCCAGAGGAGCTGGAGGCAGTCGGTCCAGAAAACTTTGCAAGAGCCAACTCAGACATTGTCAGCCTGAACTTCAGATCAGCTTCTATGATCTCCTCCGAATGCGACCGCTCACGGCAATCCTCCAATGATGGGCTGTCAGAAGGGGACGAGGGTGAGGACGAGGAGGAGGAGGCTGGGGAGCGCGTTCCATACGGAATCTCAGCTGTGGAACGAAATGCAAGAGTCATTAAGTGGCTTTATAGCATCAAACAGGCAAGAGAGACACAAAAAGTGTCACATGTTTAGGACAAGCACTACAGAAAAACTGCCCTGTGTTTCAGAATGGGTAGATGGACAAGAGTTTCTCAAAGATTTAGAGATTTTGATCTGAGAGTTGGCCTGAAAAGTCATGAAAATGAATAGATGGATTATTGAATGGATCAAATAGAAAGTCTGGCAGGTCTATCTAAACTAGGTGAGGAAATTAATGAATAGATCAAGAAACAGACTCTTATCATCCAAGGTCTAGATTAACATCAATGACATGTAGGGAAATATGAATGGATGGATAGGAACATTACGTCTGGATAAACAAATAAACAAAGGACATATATATATATAAGCAAACAGTTTCCCTTTGGACACAGTTTAAACTGACAAAAATGTCCAAGGACACATCAAGCGAGAGTCTCACTATAAGGTATTACAGGCCTTTGTCACGGAGTACATTTTGGCTTGTCAGACAGGGGTAACGGGGTGTAGAGCGGTCATCCTCTAATCAGAGGGTTGGCACTTCGATCCCAGCCTTCCCCATTCCACATGCCAAAGTGTCCTTGGGCAAAATACTGAACCCCAAAATTGCCCCTTTTCATAGAGAAAAAGTTGCATATAGATGCACTGTATGAATGTGTGTGTGAATGGGAGAATGGCAAACTGTACTGTAAAGCGCTTTGAGTGGTCATCAAGACTAGAAAAGCGCAATATAAATACAGACAATTTACAGGTCTGACAAGCTCCCATTTAGGTGCAGGCTCGTTTCTAAATTTGTTTAAAAACACAATCATTTCCCATATCTCTTATGTGTTCCGCGAGTTAAATAGCCCTGATTCTGTGCACATTCACGGCTGTTTTCCCAGTTGGAGAAATGGGTGACCATTTAATGCATTTGAAGTGGGATTGTAAATAGAGACATCATCTAAATATAGTGGCTTCAGGAAGACCCCTTCATTTTTTTGGAATTTTTTCTCGTGTTTTGTTGATTCAGTTTTAAATGGATGAAATTAAAATTTTTTCCTGTCAGTATACTTATCCAGCTAATAATTCTTATGATAAAGTGAAAATATGTTTTTACAATTGTTTGTTACCTTCTTTAAAGCTGTCTTCAGACATGTCCTGCGGAGGATGTCCGCAAAGTTGGGTCCAGATTATCTCCGCAATAAGCCTTTCACACATGCGCAACGCAGCAGGGGTTCTCTCCTTAGACCCGTTAGCAACAAATCCTCTGCAGGATTCAGGTGAGGGGTTGTGCAGGAGGCAGAGGCAGGAAGTAACACAATAATTGTGCTGTGGAGAGCACATGATTTTGTTTACAGTACATGGACACCACAAACTCGCTTGACATCTTCATCGTCTCCTACGTGTATGGCTCCACGTTTTCATCCTGAGATATTTGGTTTCTTTTTGTTGCGTCTGTTGTGTGTTAGAAGCATCATCAGCACTCATCAGTACATCAAACTATAGGAGGGTAAAATGATGGAACAATTTGTCCCCTTCTGAATTACAAGGCAGTTGTACAGTTGTTGGACTGAGCAACAGGTATTATCTCCACTTGTGCTTTTCTTGCAATGACAAGTCAAAATGTCCACTTTGAAAAATGCCGGTCATAGTGTTAAAATCTCTCATTAAACAAACTTGGAAAAGGTCCTGCACTCTTAGAAAAACAGATTTGGAACTATATCTGTCAAAAACTAGAAGGCACTTTGGAAAGACAGTTCTGTGAAGCTACTTGATATTTGTTATAGATGAATGTTAAATGAATAATTGATCAAGTCAGTACTTATTCAGTGAGTCCCAAAGACTCACTACATTGGTAATGTATCAAGTCGTTACCCATGACAATGTAAGGTGCTGAGAAACATATGAAACGTGAGTGGTGGCAAGCTAGCTCTCAACAAGTTTTAACTTGTGGTAACATAGATATCATAATTACTCATTTAAGGCTTTGAAGTGTGTGGAGATTGATTGACAAAGAAAAAAGAGGACATTGACACTGAGAGGTTGAGACAGATAGACACATGATATAGAAGCTAATCTCTTAAACATCCGCACAGCATTAAGGTATTTTCGCTAAACAGGACAATTTTATTAACAATTGTCTTATCAAGCTTTTAATTTGAAGCAATTCAAAGTTGAACTGGAGAGTTTTAGTGTCCTATGATTAGTTATGGTTATTGAGTGGCTGTTCTACACTGACAAGATATGTAGAATTCATTCACAATTTGGTCAAATGTACTAAATATTGCTGACAGTGTAATGGATTAGTTAAGGCTCTAGTTTAGTGGTTCACTTGACTTGTTTGGACCACTTAGCTTCTGGTCACCCTGTCGTAGTAGATATGTGATGAAGCATGAAATTTAAAGAAGACTGCTCTTAAATGTCAATGACCACCAGTCTCTCAAAACTCAGAGGTTTGACCCTGATCATGTGATAATTTCCCTGATTCATGTCCTACCTGAACATCACAGTCCAGTTGCAGTCTCACTCAGTCAGGCTCATGGCAAATTTAATACACTTATCAGGTTTCGGTAATCCAGATGTTTTTCTCATCTGTGAGTCCATGTTGCTCTGATGATAATGCAGGATGAGATCAGCCAAACTGTCCAATCAATGGCTCACTGGTCTGTTCATATGGCTTCATGTTTACTTCTCCTACTTCAGTTATAATAAGTCAGTAATGATTCATAGGGCACATACTAAATGAACCAAACAACAGGTGTTAAAGTGGCCTCAACAGTGAAATCTGTACACATATTATACAGTATATGCCACTATCAATATCACTTTTTATTCAATAAAATATACTTTCTACTAATCACTGAGGTTATCCAATGAATCATGGGTTTCACAAGCAGTTGAACAGCACTTCTCAATAGTAATGTTGCAGGACGCTGCAACATGTTGCAGGACGCCAAAACTCTCCTTTCAAAACAATGTCCGTAAAAGTCTGTCATAATGTAGACCACCATTCTAATACAAGCACACTGAAAGTAATACTTGTGAAGCTGTCTACTATTACTATCTAGGACGTGTTATGAACAGAAAAGGTGATTGTGGTCATGTTATATGTCAGCATTCTCTCCAAGTTTCACATACGATTTTGTGATTTCTATAATTGCTTGTCCTGTAGATCGCAAACACACAAACGTAGGCAGAGATTCTGCTGTATGTCAAAAAACACTGTAGTCTGCATTCACCATGAACACCTTGTTGATGTTAATGTTCTCAGCTCTGCTTTCTCTCTGTTTGCAATTCAGTCTCCAAAGCCAGCCACAGAATGTGTAGCTTAAAAAGCCCCTGTGTTCCTCGATAATAAAGAGAAGTGGGTTGCCAAATTTGCCTCCACTATTACCTTTGTCATCTGTATTCATAACTGCAAGTTACTGATATGCCTTAAAGTCTGAAGCCATATCGATATGAATGCAATGCAACAGTCACCATTTACCATCAGAGTATCTGTTACCCCACCACCTCCCTTCACCTCATCAACAGCAACAGCTCTGCTAGGTTTCCCTTACTTCACCTCTCTATAGGTATATGGTTTGGAATTCACATGATGACTACATAGTGTGTACGAGATAGCAGGGTAAGATGAGGCACATTATACTTAAAGTGACTATGGACTTTTCTGCCAACTATCAGCTATCTTCCACAACTATCAGCCTGGCTACTGTTCTTACCAAAAAACAACTAAAATAACTGAAACTGATATCTGAAACTAGAAACATTGATCTCACTGCTGTGATAAAGGCAGTGCAAAACATCCAGTTGTATTATTAAATTATTGAAATTATATTTATTAAATGAGAGTTGTAATTCGGTATTGAAACCAAAAGTGATCAAACTCAACCATCATTTAATGAGCAATACGAAAATGCCCTTGTGATTAAAGAAAGGTTAGTAGAAGTATGGCCTTGAAATAAAACGAAAGAACATCTAACATGTTTTCTGTCATGTTGGAGTATTAAGAAATTTCACTATTATTACATACTTCTCACTAAAATCCAGTGGAAGTGAAGTGAAGCCAGCTCTCCCCCTCTCCTAGCTCTGACCTCAGGGCTGTGCCAGCATGATTGACCAACCTCGAACCTCCTGCCGGACCCCAGTAAATCCTGCTGCTTCTCACCATAAACATTAATAATAACAATATTTTACTGTTCCTGCAGTATAATCATGCTTCATGGACACTGTCTATCTGGTGTTTTTATTTAGCTTGGATTGACAGAGAGTTCTCTTCTGTTACCTGCTTTGTTTTACTTTTTTCTTGTGTGTGTACATGCTGTAAGAAAATGTATATAAAGCCATGTGTTGGATTTCAGTTTTTCTCTGTCTGAAGGTTTATGTTAAGATTCTAAAAAAAAATCTGATGTTTGCCCTTAGTACAGTGTCAGAACAAACCAGGCAGGATTGTTTCAGAGGATATGAGACTATGTTTTTCAACATGGAAACTGCACATTTGTGCTTGATTTAAAACAAAAAAAACATTTCAAAGTTCAGTTTATTTTGCATTATTTCAATGAATCTTTTTGTTTGCCATCTTTTGTCACTGATGTGTTTATTAATTGAAGGAAAATGTGGCATAATAACAGGCTATGGCACACATAACTGACCATAACAAAGTATTTTCTGAATGGTTTCTCAAGGTTACCATATCTCATGGAATCAGGTCTTAAAGTAGTCTGTATTTGATTGCCTAAAATCTGTAACAGTCAGCACAGTCAGCACTGTTGCCATACCATTATACAAGTGGTGGCTTGTTAATATGGGGCACTGGGGCACCACTCCCTCCAACATCCTGAGGAAAAAATTTAAACATAACTTAATAAGATAATAATAGTTTACTTGTATAATGCACCTGGTACTGTAAGGGCCACAATAGAAATTGTTTTCAAATTGTATTCAGTCATATCTTTCTATATATTTACTTTCTTGTGTGGGGTGCTGGCCAAATGAGAGTAAATGCGTCCTTAAACTTTTGGCAACCAGGGGACCTGAGATGGCACTTTATTTGGTTGTTGCAAATTTTTCACGGAGCACCACTCTCTGTGCCCCAGACACTTTTATTTACAACCAATTGGTATTGATTTATTATATATGATTATTTTTAATCTAATGTGATTGGTCGACTTTTAGCGCTGTCTCAGGTACATCCACCGTCGAGTTACTTCCGCTGCCACTTGAATGGCAAAGGTATGGTGACTTAAAATGAACTGAGGCAAATTTGGGAATTTCTGTACAAAAACTCCCTTTCACAAGAAAAATAGACAAAGGAGATTGGTCTGGATCGACCCCATTTACAAATTCAGCAGCAAGTGATGCAGACGAACTAACACCTGGGGCTTCTCTCGCTCTTGATATGATAAACAGAGTTGACTAACCAGATGAGGTGTAAGTAATGTCTTCTACAACTTCCCCTTTTTGCTTTTTTCAAAGTTGACCCAGAGGTACTGTGGACTACGACGGGGTAAAATTTTTGCGGTAGCCTTAGCATTGCTCAGTAGCTTGATGAAGGCTACAGGATTGGTATATTGTGTGTTATGTTGTTTTTGTTGAGTCTGGCTTCAGTTTGTTTGTCCCCACACCAACACTGCACCCCCCCATACATTTATCACCAGCCCCCTCTGCATTATATCTTGTATTGTTCCAGCCACTTATACCCAAAACATTTGCGCATGCACTTGACTTTGTCACCAGCCCACGTTGATTCAAGTTCACTTCTATTGTCACTCATTTTTATACACAATATACAGCTGAACAAAAACGTATTGGGCTGAATGGGCCAAAGTGTGCGTTGGTTGGTCAGCAGGAATAAAAAAAAAAAATACTTTTCAGTTTTCCATGAAACGTGGAAGGATGGGATGTGGGCCAAGAAAGAACGCATTCAAATTTGGTGCATATCCACACAAAAGGGTTGATCCAGGAACTTTTTTTCCGCTTTCTTTAACATTGCATTTTTTAATATTTTCACCAATTTTCCAGGAAATAATGTATGGATTTGAAAGAAACAAATATTTAGGGGATGGATTACGCCATTTGGTTAAGCTTGATTGAATTTAATGGAATAGTTTACCCAAAAATGAAAATTCACTCGTTATCTACTCACCCCGACATTCAAATTCGAATTGAAACGGTCATTTACACCATGTTTTTAGTCTAAATGTCCTCTGATATCCTCCTCTGGAGCTGTTTCAAGTCAATTTGAATGTTGGGGCATATGGACACCACAGGAGCAGTATGGAGGCATTCTATGTTTTTTCAGATGTTTTTTACATTTGAACAATTGGTCGCCATTTGCTTCAAATGTATAGGATTTGGCTGCAACACTGTTTACCCCCGAAACTCCAAAAGTGTTTTGTCGACTCAACCACTTCACCCACTCCTCCATCGGCATAGTGGTGAGTAGATAATAAGTGAATTTAACAAGTTACTCGGATGAAGTGATTCCATAAGTCACAAAATAATTTTGCCCATAGACTGAATATAGAGACAGACAACATAATCGATCCCCCAAATTATCTTGATCGCCACCTTGTAGCTGACTGCAGTATATGTTTTTATGCCTGCCTCCTCCATGTTAGTGGATGAAAAATGGACCAAAAGGCAAAGATATCAGATATATTTTTCTCAGAGAAATTTTTTTGTCAAATTAGGTAGTTATTATCACATTGATGTCTGTCCAGTGCAAGATGGCAGCATTCACATCCAGGATATTTTGGTTTAATTTTGGGATAGTGCAGTTCTGGGATGAATGCAATAGGTGTTTCTAAGAGCAGGTCAGTACATCTGCAGTGTGTTTGTATGTAATTAAGGGACTGTGTATGAAGGTAAAACACAAAATACTAACATAAGAGGTCTGTCAAGAGGCCATTGGATGAGAATGAGTAGATCCCATAGGTCTGCTTTAAAGCCTCCACTAGTGAGGCCGTCACACTCCCTCCCCATAAGACAGGGTTCCTACCCCCTGGCTGAGGGGGTAGAGTGGTCATCCTCAACCAAGGTCGCGGTTCGATGCCGAAGTGCCCTTGGGCAAGATACTGAACCCGAATAGCCCCTTATAGAAAAACTGTTGCATATAGATGCATCGTGTGAATGCTTGAATAGAAATAACTTCCACTGTAAAGCTCTTTAAGTGGTCATCAAGACTAGAAAATTGCTATTTAAATACAGACCATTCACCATTTACAATTTCATGATAGTTAAGATTCGATTTACTTGTTCAAGGATGACCCCCATAACCAAACCTTTACATAACTCAAAACTTCTCCAGTCTCAAGACTCTGCATCTCCACCATCAGCAGCCTTGGTGCATTGGAGAAATTTAAGAGGGAGGGAAACGGAGGACCTAAGAGACAGAATAGAGGATGTTGTCAGCTAAGCTGTGAAGCCGTGACGCGGTACAAGGTGTACAAAACAAGGTATGTGCCATAATTTCTTTTTTTTATGTTAAGGTCCATATTGTTAGGCTGCAAGACGTGGGGCCACCACATGAGCTGCAGAGAGTTCAGTGAGTGAGGTATGATCAATGAATACAAAGCACATGGGTGTGAATATGACATCCTATCATGTATGACTGTATGCCACCACCTCTTTAAACTATACAGCACAACTTTCAAATCTCTTAACAACTGTTTTCATGTCGTTGGAATGTTGCTGGTGCATTGAGTAAGCCAAAACCTGTATAATGTCCGACTGTATCAAGCACACTGCAGATCGTAGTATCTGCTACCAGTTAATGTTGCTACGTGTCAAGTCATTTATTGTTACTCATGTTTGCTATTTAGCATTTAGCCCTTGTTGCCTGTTCCTCACACTGTTCAATTTGTCAGAGTTTTTTCCCAGGATAATCCGAGGCTTTACTGGGGTGTGAATGTGTGAAAACCCACAGACACCCTACTAAAATTATTTTATCAATTTTCATCAACGAAACCTCAAATCTAATTTGTGGTGGTGATGAGGTGATGTCACCATCTTTAAAGTACAACAAGTTGCCAGGCTGGTTCATCCTCTGGTATGATATTTCCAACAATTAGTGGTAACAATCTCAATAGACACCAATTCTCTTGTGCATAATTTGGAAGGTATGTGGTAATGAATTTGGGTAATTAGTCTCCCCATGTGTATGGAAAAGTCTGAATTATCTGATTTAGAGTATCAAAAGAAATACTTCTTGCCTATTAGAACCCCAAAAGCATTTAGCTAGCTCAACAGGCACTATGCCCTCGAAGAAATCATGAGCAACATCAGGGGGAAGCCTGAAGTCATCTTAACGTGAGAAAGGCTTTCAGCTAAAACACATTTATATTTCTCACCACAACAGTGTTTTCCTTCTTCAAGTGCCTTTGTTGCATGTCCAAGATGCAGCTCTTTAGTTCTGAGATGAAATTCACCACTTTTTACCTCTTTTGAATGAACCTCTGAGTGTGTCCTAGTACGCAATCTGTTGAAAAATTTTCCACAAAACCGACCAATCCCTGATCTCCAAGACTATCTGCCATGCACACTGGATTATGCCTTTAATACATGCTGCTAGATGGTCAATGAACACCCCTTACTGCTCTAAAGTGACAAGGTCATGCAAAAGAGGCTGAAATATTTTTCCGACAGCCAAAAGTCTTTATATCATCACTTTTACATAACAATGCAATATAAATCAAGTAGAGAGATGAATGAGAACCTGGTGGCAGGTTTCCTAGAACCCAATAAACTGAGCAAAGTTTATGCTTTTTGCATTATGCCCCCAAAGGATTGCAGATTTCAAAATCATCAATATAGAGGCACAAAGACATTCTATGTTCCTCACCAGATACAACAAATCACTGTTCAGAAAGTGATGATCATCTCGATAAGATCCATTGTGCTCCTGCTTTACTGAATGCTGCCCTGCATGATTGTTAACAACTTTATTGAGAATGCCTCTCTGTTTGAGTAACTGCTGTGATGATTTCAATATGGTCCCATATACTGAAGAGGTCAGTTTTGTTTGGGACTCGAGTATGTATTCAACTGGATCAACCACATCAAAATATTATAATACTGTCTACGTTTGAAAGCAGTAGCTCATGCGCCACTTTTTGCTACAGCTTTCAACAAAGGGCTAAAAGAAGATAATGCATTAGTCAGACTGGCTGAAGTTGCGCATCTTAATGGTAATCTAGCATTACTCTGTTTGATACAGGTACAAATGCAAAGCTTATCAAATAATGCAGTTCTGTAAGCATCAATTACTGTACTTGGAACTAGAATAGTTTTCCAATTTTAGTAAAAGAGACGTACAATATTACACTTGTTGGTCAACTATTTGATCCAAATGCTAGGCTGTTTTAATACAAATTAAAGCTAAGGAGTATGCAATTGTATTTGATCCAATTCCTTCAGGAATAATAAAGCTGATGCAAGGTGTTTATTTCACTTCACTTATGCCACTTGCTCGCTCTGTCACTTTATTGGATACTCGTATTATTGTATATGCTTTTCAACAGAGCATCCTGTTCAGTGTAGAGTGTGCAAGATTAAAATTTCATATAGAGCAGGCTCCACGAACAACCTACACAGGCACATGAGAATTGTTCATCCCTCAGTGCAAATTGAAGACAAAAGACAAGCAAGTGAACCTGAAATCATAAAAAGTTCAATAGTTTGAAGAAGAAAAGTTTGGTTCTTACTCCTACAGACATACTTCAGTTTTTTTAGTGATGTTTAAAATAATGAATATGTTGTACCCTGTAAGATCTTTCCTTTGAATGAAATAAACCAGATATTGATCATTTTGATTTGATTGATAGTGAAGGTACACTCTTTATGATATTTCTTTTTACTTCTAATCAGTTGTGAGAACAAATGTAAATTTAGTTGCTGTAAACCATCTTTTAATGTTTGTTTTTTTAATTGAATATATAGCATTTCAAATATGATGTCATAATCCTGCGACAATTACGTTATCACCGGCGCAGAGAACTTGAACATAGTAGTGTCCGACAGCGTTTTTTCTTTCCTGTATGAGGTCACTGTATAGTTCTCTATATAGTGAAGTAGAGAATAGTGAGAGAGTGGGTGATTAGAGCGAACGCACCTCCGGTTACAGTGGTAGTCATCACGTGATCTCGCGACCCGGAACACCAAGGCACCGGGACGTCGTGGGGACAGACATTGTAAACAACTACGCTCGCTGCATCTACACGCGCTTTGTGTCGGATCTGCTGGGTGTGTAACCAAAGTGCCAGGGTCACATGTCGGATGACCCATGAGACTACTGGAGGAGAAGCTGGTAAAGTGTTCATTCCTCCCCTCCAAACCATCGGAAGCAGTCCAAGAGACTGAGAGTAATGACTGTGTCCTACTGCACATTCACCCGTAACACAGGCTCTTTGTGGCATCGTATCGTCTCGTTCAATCTTTTCGTTTCGGACTGAAAACAGAACGAAACAAAAACCGATGTCTTTTCAGGTTTTAGCTTTAAACAACAATCGTTTCTTCGTTTTGGGTCGACAGAGAAATAAAAGGAAAACGAAAGAAAAACAAACTCTTTATGAAAAGTATTTTCATTTTCCATTTACCAATAAACTTACATATGTATTGTATCTTAGGCTACCCATCTATTTTCTTGGCTTTATTTTGAAGTATGTTTCTTTACATCCCGTCGCGAGTCTGTCTGTGTTTTTTAAGTGAGAAGACAACAACAAAATGAATGAATAGAGTGTCTCAGCTCTGGAGAGTTTAACCATTGTTAAGTCTTTCTCTTTACATCATATAATGGTACAGTGTGTAGAATTTAGTGATATCTAGTGTTGAAATTACATGTTGCAGCTGAACACCCCTCACCTCACCCTCTCCTTCCAAACATGAAAAAGAACCTGTGGTAGCTTCAGTTGTCATAAAAACTCAAAAGGTTTTAGTTTGTCCAGTCTGGACTAATGTAAAAAACATGGCGGCCTCCGTAGAGAGGGTCCCCTCGATGTAAATATAAAGTATTTAAATATAAAGGGCCTTTTCTGGGGTAAAGAAAACTACAATTCATACAATTTAGATGAAATGAACTAGTGAAAACATCATGAGGATTAGTCTACACTAAATTTCTGCCAATAGTTCCCTTACACCTAAATATTACACACTGGACCTTTAAGGGTCTCTAATGAGTCATCATGTAGATCAAAGAAATACTGGATTTTGAGCATGCTGCACACTGTTTCACAACAAAAAGCTCTACATATATGTAGCAGTTTCCATATTGTAAAAATACATATGCATTTCAATTTTATACTGATACTGTGTCAGTCCGATAAGGTAAAATAAAATTTCAAAAATACATCAATCATTCAAAATGATTGTGCAGGCCAGATATTATTGTTTTGGCCTGCTGGCCTAGACCAGACAATCTTAAGCCTGGAGCGATAGATTAGGGCCTGCACCCACCTTCATAGGTGGGAGGAGAAGATTACTCTGGGCACATGGTTTGGTGTTGTTGTCTTATGGTCTTAAGTTGTGTATGCAATGTAGTGGTGTGGTGCACTTATAAAATATAAAGACTGTAGGGGGTGAGGTGATGTTTATCACAGAGGTCTTTCAGGGTGGCCAGCTAAGATATGCAGGAAGGAAATGTAAACAGGCCCTACAGTGCAACCGAGAGTATAGCATATGCATGAAGAAGAATAAATAGACAGCAGCTTAAAAATGGAACGTGCGAATTTGAATAAAACAGATCCTACAGTGCAAATAGAAAATGGACGATCATTTATTCTCACACAACAAGATGACACTGAATATACACACACTAGCTGCTCATCAAAGAGCAGTGGTAAAGTAACAAACTATACTGCATTCTGATATACTCAAATATTTCTGAGTGACGTCGCTTTTATCGCTCCTGTATTATGTACCAAAGGAATATATATAATACGAAGCATATTTGTACTGCACTCCATCTATCTGGTAACTGGAGTTACTTTTTGGGTTAATTTTATGCATAGGAAACTACACATAGAAATAATTCAGGTGAGTAAGGTGGATTTGAATTATCTAGATTGCATGGTGACTCAACTGATCTGCAAACTGGGACTTACCCTCCACCACATTCCGTTGCAGAGATGAAATTGTGTGTGCAGGAGGAGACCTTCCATCACTGCTGTCAGCTCCTCCTACAGCAGTCAGAGCAGCTGAGAGATGGCTGGAGCTGGGAGTCAGTCCAGGTGAGAACAGTCGTATCATTATCATCAACGTAGACAGACCCTGCAAGTTGGCTGCACGATGTAGTTAATGTGAGTTTCTGTTATGGGTTCAGGGTTCAAAGGTGGGCTACTTAAGGAAGACTGCTCTCAGGTCCGTTGACATCAATTCGATTCCTGTATGGGACCAAGTAGGATCCAGTTCAGACTCAGGGTCACAAACCTTCTGTCATCAACAGCAACAGGAAAAGGTACAGGTAAACAAGTCAACATTCATTTCACGTCATGTACATGTCATTTTCTAGCTGTATATTTACACTGACTCTTCACAGTCACTTCTTTTAACTTTCAGTAGTATTTAAATGAACATTTATGAAAAAAGATTGTGTAAAGCAATTCAAAATATATTGTCTGAATTTGTCACACCAGTGTCATTAACCACCCAAGCAAATTTGATTGCTTGCAAGTATAAGTATGTCTAAATAGGGTTCAAAATCATGAGAAAAGGAGCGGTATTCTGCTGCTCTTACACAGCTCACCCTAACCCAGGGCTTCCACGGCTGCAGGATGGACAGATGACACTCAAGCAAGCTTAAGTCTCTTTACTAAATCAAAGCGGGCTGGTCTTTGACATATTTTGGATTAATTACACCTGCATCATTAAAAATAATGAGTGTTGTGTTTAATTGCAGTGTCGTCTGTTCACAGCTTTCTTTCATCCTGACGTACTTGAGCTCATCACCTGCATGTGTGCTTCTGTACAGCTAGTCACATTTAATCAGTGGAGAATGGCTTGGTTTTCAGTTTGGTTCCCCAAAGTGCACCGCTGCAAAACAGCAGCATACAACCCCCACACACGGAAGAACAGTTAGAGGGAACATTGATGTTACGGAGCTCTAGTTCTTTTATAGTGTCGGGGTGGGCTATGCTACTGAGGGCCGCACTTCGTCATACATGTCGACCAATAAAATGTATGATTACGTTGTGCGGCCTCCTTCTCAGACTCTCCTAAAGCTGAGGAACCAAGGAATGCTTTAAAACAGTCAAACTTCATACAGCATAGTTCCCATTGTTTTCCTGTTTCTCATTAATCACTTACTGACATGTATAGCATGTAAAGAGACAAATGACTGACTTTGCTTTACACAGTCTTTCAGGCGAACCTGCTTAGCATGGTGAACTCCTCTCTCTCTTCCCACACAGTCTGCTGTTGTTACCTCATGTGATGCTGACAGCATCGAAGAAGACATAGCTGATGATGATGATGATGATGATGATGGTGGGGTCTGTACAGTGTCTGAAGACAGCAGCAAGGTGCTTCAGTACGAGTATCACATCCTATACTCCTGCAGCTACAGTACACCTGTGCTCTATTTCAGAGCCTTCACTCTGGGTTAGTTACATGTGCCTTTGTGTGTGGTTCATTGACAATATAGTTTGAAGAAAGTGATGACGTGCATCATGCAAATGCAGACAGTCATGATGTCACTGAAAGTATCGGCTGGACTACTGACAAGCTGTTTCAGGAGCTTCAGGAGCAGTGTTTTCTGTAGGGTAGAGGAGCTCCCTGCAGACTATTGGACATTCCAGAACTTTTTCAGATACAAAAAACTACAGGAAAGGGAAAAACTGAAAAAGCTTAACATGCCTTTAACAGTTGCAAATGTTTTTAAAATGTGTGCAGTATTTGTAGGGTACAGTGTGTTAGGGCTACACGATTATGGCCAAAAACGATTATTTTGATCAATATTGTAATCACGATTATTTTGATCAATATTGTAATCACAATTATTAATCATGATTATTCATCATGTTAGGGAAAACATCTGTATACGATATTTATATTTCAAAATCGCGTTGGTGTAAAGAAAGCGGAATCAATTTGTGCCGTTTGGTGCTGACTCTGTGGTGCTGCTCCACACATTGGTCTATGTATGGGAAATACACACCCTGCTTCCTCAGCATGGTGCGCTCACTTGTTAATTATTTAGGCAGCTTAATGAAGCCTTACCCATGCGTTTGCACCCTGGTGGTTGGCTGACTACTGGTTGAGAAAGTGCTTGAGTAGATATGCAGCAGGGCCCGCATTTTAAATGGCAATATCACCGACGATCATTTTAATCGTGGCAGCCCTACAGTGTGTAGAATGAGTGTGATATCTAGTGTTGAAATTTCGTGTTGCAGCTGAACACCCCTCACCTCATCCTCTCCTTCCAAACATGAAGTAGAACCTGTGGTAGCCTTTGATTGTCATAAAAACTCAAAAGGTGTTTAGTTTGTCCAGTCTGGTCTAATGTAAAAAACATGGCGGCCTCCGTAGAGAGGGTCCCCTCTATGTAAATATAAAGTATTAAATATAAAGGAACTTTTCTGGGGTAAAGAAAACTACAATTCATACAATTTAGATGAAGTGAACTAGTGAAAACATCATGAGGATTATTCTACATTACATTTCTGCCAATAGTTCCCTTACACCTAAATATTACACACTGGACCTTTAAAGCATTTAAATTAGACTTGGATATCAGTTCTCATGTGTTTCTTCTGAAGTAGCGCTTCAGTAGAGGTGTATATATACCTCTAAATTGTATCCATGTTAGTCTGTCATGAGTATACTGTGTGATATTATGCTGCTGCTGCTTCTTCCTGACATGTTCCTTGGCTAGACGGGAGGAGTCTCTCATTGGAGGAGGTGTGGAGCTCCGTTCATCCAAACTTTAGAATTCGACTTCAAAACAGTCCTCTCGATACAATTACTCAACAGGTAAAACCTGGAAAGATACAACAATCAACTTTGTCATCAGTATGTGCCTCTTTGCAGCTCCACTGAGATCTGTTCTTTATGTTTCAGGAGCATCCACTGCTGGGTCAGCCTTTCTTTATGCTCCACCCCTGTAAAACAGAGGAGTTCATGAAGCCTGTCCTGCAGCTGGCTCAGGACCAACACCGGTAATACCACTGTTGGAATAATTAACCCAAAAACAATAGGAGACCAATGTTACACAGATGTTTGTTTGCTGCTTCATTTTCAGTGTGTCACAGTGTATATCATTTACAGGTTTCATGTAACTTGAAGCATTTGTATGAAGTTGAAGATAGTTTTTGCTTGAAGGTTTCTTGCGATTGGAGCATCAACATATGATAATGATGTGTTACTTACCTCAGACAGTATTGTTCGATACCTGTTATGTTTCGTAATACTCACTTTTTGTATGTCTGTATATATCTGGACAGGCCGGTGAACTATGTGTTGACATGGCTCAGTGTGGTAGGTCCTCTGGTTGGTCTGGATGTCCCTCTGATGTACTTCACCCTGCTCTCACCCAGCCCAGCCTCACTGAGCAATACCAAGCCAAACTGATGCTGCAGGCGCTCTGCCTCTGTCAGTAAGCATCGCCATGGAGTGGACAGTCTTCCATCAAGATGGGCATTGAATAATCAGGGACAGGGAAATTAAAGGTACAGTGTGTGACATCGAGTGTTGAAATTGCATGTTGCAGCTGAACACCCCTCACCTCACCCTCTCCTTCCAAACATGAAAAAGAACCTGTGGTAACTTCAGTTGTCATAAAAACTCAAAGGTGTTTAGTTTGTCCAGTCTGGACTGATGTAAAAAACATGGCGGCCTCCGTAGAGAGGGTCCCCTCGATGTAAATATAAAGTATTTAAATATAAAGGGCCTTTTCTGGGGCAAAGAAAACTACAATTCATACAATTTAGATGAAATGAACTAGTGAAAATATCATGAGGATTATTCTACACTAAATTTCTGCCAGTAGTTCCCTTTCACCTAAATCTTACACACTGGACCTTTAAGCATCACAAGTACTTTTGTGCAGTAAATCGGCTCTTGTTGTTTGGACCTTTGCAGTCTATACATTATCATTAAGCGCATTTGTCTGTTGCTGCTATCTGTCCATACCCTACTTGATGTGATTTTGAAATTCAGTAAAGAAATTATATCTATGAATGTGTATAAAGCAAAATTGATTTGAATATCTGTATGTTTGCCTGTGTTCATACAATGTAAATAAATATAATTGCATTTTTGATACACACACTGGCTCGACTCCTAACATAGATTCATAAAGAAAAGTGATGTAGCTTTTTACTCATCCAGTATTGGCGTTGTGAACTTAGAACATTTTATTCAGTACTTATAGGACTCTCTCTCACACACACACACACACACACACACACACTTCATACTTCAATACTACTATTACTACTACCATCAATTCTGTTCATTTTCAACTTCTAGCCTCTTCTCAGCAGCACTGTCAGGAAAGCTCTCATTTCATCAGGAGACACATTGTTCTCGTGCTTCCCCTTGTATGATGCAAATAGGTTTTGGTCACACAGGTTATAGGGAAAGTTCATTGAAAAATTAAACACTATCCACTTCATGGGAAGGTCCTTTATGAAGGCCAGTACTTGTTATACATTGTTGGAACACGCTTCTGAACAAGTCAGTAACTTTTGAGATATTTTCACCTGTAGATGGTGCTAAAAGATCTAAGAAATTGATGCTGTGGCAGCAGTTTGCAGCTGCAGTGGTTACCAACAGCTTCCAGGTCTAACACACATTTCTGATAATAATAATACATATTATAATAATATATAATTATATAATTTAATTTTCAAAGACATTATTCTAAAACCAGACTGAGTCATCAGCCGGTTGCCTGAGAAGGCTTAGTTTAATCATTTGCTCAGTTGCAAACTTTAAGGTCATTAAACGTTTGTCATTCATACAGGAAATGATAAAATTGCAAATCCATGGGACTTTCATCAAGTTTAATGTGCCTGAAATTTCACAAAACAATGTCAGACCAAAAAAATGATTAATTCTGCTATATTTAATTCCCAACCTACATGTTTCATATTATGTGACACTTGTGTCCTACTTTTGTGCAGGTGTCCTTGGAAAACTGGGAGTGACAGTGGCAAACAAAATGGCAGTTTCTTTCTGAACCCCTTAATTGTGGATTTGTACATTCCCCCAACAATGCACATTGCAATGTTTTTATTGCATGGTCATGTCTTTGGCCATGAAACCCTTACGTCTCAGGGAGCATCTTATGAAGTACAATGGAGGCAAAAGCAAGACAACCCCCAAAAAGGTAATGGTTTGTGGTGGCTACAGACAGCTGCTCTCTTCTTATCCCTCCTGACTGATTTTTCAATCATGACTCTGTGGACTCTAGAATTTGAACTGTTTTTCTCTTTTTCCTTATGTTAGATTTGTGTCACACAACACACCCACACAACAAGACCATTTAAGTGAATTTAAGACAATTCACTCATCTAAAACCTGAAAAATGTCTCTTCCTGTGTCCCTACCTTACAGTCCTTTGCAAAATTATATTTTCTCAACAAAGTTATCCTGGGAAATAAATGAGATGTATACAAGTAATTCAATGCATCAATGCTCTCATCCAGCTGCAGAGGAAAATATTCTTGCTCTCACTTGCTCTAAAAGCTGAGCAGACACGTCCTGAGCCATGTCACCAATCCGTCGGCTCACAGAATTGCCAAAAATGATGCCTTCAAGGCCCGCTCAGGGACGCTGGCTTGCTGCTTGAATGTAGCCGACTGCATCGCTAGGTGCTCTTGATTCCAAAGTCTATGGATTTGTTAGCTTCGGACCCCCACTTTGAAAAATAGTGCTCTATTGGCACCTATGCCCTCAGCCCACCACCATGCAGCTCGATTGGCTTTCGCAAGGGAACACCAGGATTGGCAGGTCCCTGTTCTCTTCACAGATGAGAGCAGGTTCACAATGAGCACATGTGACAGGCGTGAAAGAGTCTAGAGACACTGTGGTGAACGTTATGCTGTCTGTAACATCATCCAGCATGACCGGTTTGGCGGTGGGTCAGTGATTGCACAGACCACTGTGTCATAGCCAACGGTACTAGGACTGCCGCAGCAGTGGGCCCTGGAACCCAGGGAAGGCCTTATCATTGCTGAGGGGTGGAAAGAGATTGGAAAATCCTTGCAGTCCAAGAGCAAACCTGAATTGTTAGGTCCCTAATCTGTTAAGCAGTTCTATTATCTTAGTGTGTGTGTGTGTGTGTGTGTGATTAAAATTGTTGCAGTGAACGTGACTGTGCCATCAGGCACATAAAGAAAAACTATTCAAACTTCCATTCCCAAATAATATCCCAGAGTGGAGGTTAGGATCCATAGTGTGAAGTAATGGGTTAGATTGCTCTAAATACATAAATACTGCGGTGACACTGTGTGTAATGCTGCATGATGGATGCACTGGCACAGACAGAGGAGCGCGCTAATGGACATCAGTTTATTTTTGCCATTCAAACTTGAGTCAACATCATGACTTTTGTATTTCAAGTTCGCCTTTTCTAAACTTTTGTTCACACGTGTCCGTTGCTTTCAGGTGTTTACAGTCCAAGTGAGGCTGTTGGCCTTCATAAGCTCAGGGTCCACTAACTGATGGGAGAGTTGAAGCAGTAACTGTCTTGTTGAAATTGAACCTCAAAAACAAGCAGGATGCAGCAGGAGGAATTTTAGTCCTTTCAGGTAGAGGGAGTTTTTGACAGTGTTAAATGCCGCTGGTGACTGGGTATACACTGAGCTCAGAGCCGTGGTTATCCAGTTTGTGTTGTCTGGCCCATCTTACAACTTTCTCTTTGTCCTTGTTACGTGTATTGAGTGTGTGTGTGTGTGTGTGTGCAGGTGTCTCTCTCCCTCTCCCTTGCTCTCTCCTCCCTTCGTCCTGCAGGTGAGAAGTGGAAGATTGGCTGCCAGCTCCAGAAGATCTGTGGATGGCTCACATTTCAGCCCAGTAGCCAATCAGAGACAGAGGGCACCATTTTAAAAGCCTCTCTTTTGCTTTGTTCTCCCTCTGTTGTTTTCTATCAAGCAAGGTTTGTGGTGGGGAGGTTGAACTGAGGTAAGGCTGGGGTACCCTATACATTCTCACACGTAGGAAGAAATTGTTATGTACACTAGGTTATGGGTTGTTGCCACTGATGTACTTTTATTAGTTTCAGACACTTTTTTAGATAAGATAGTCAGGCCTTTTGTGTTATTTTACTTTCTTACAGATAGAGTTGAGCTAGGCCCTATTTTGTTGTACTTTGTTTATTTTGTTTGGTACAACCCCCACAGTTCCTCCTTCCCCCACATGTTTCAAACCTATGTTTGTTGTTTACCATCATTTCAGTTGTAAATAAACCTTTTTTCTTTGACTGCCTCACGTCCACCCTGAGTTCTTTCTTTGTTAATTGTCAGTGTTATTGTTTCTGCAAACACGGAAACGTAACAATTGGGGGCTCGTCCGGGATTTGCACCCGGGACCTCTTGAAAGTGAAGAAACTTTATGACGAAAGCCCTTGGATTCACTGCACCAAACAAACCGAACATGCCTCACACCGGACAGGCATTCGTTTTTTTGTGTCCAAAATGACCCAAGCCCAATGCAGTTCATGTAAACTGCACTGAGTTTGTGTTTCCCTGTCTCCCTCTCGCTGATACACATGGTCATTGCTTCTATTCCTGAATACAGACATGTTGAGAGTAAAAAAGTCAACCCAATCAACATGGTCTTAGGGTATATAAAAAGTCCCTCCACAAAGCAAGAGCTGCCTACTACTCCACATTAATAGAATAAAATAAAAACAACCCTAGGTTTCTTCCCAGCACTGTAACCAGGCTGACAGATTCACACCTCCATCGAACCCAGTATTCATCCATTCCTGAATAGCAATATCTTTATGAACTTCTTTAATGATAAAAATTCTAACTATTAGAAATAAAATCTACAATCTCCTGCCCTCAGTTGATGCTGAGGCACCATCAAGCACAGAAATCTCAGGAACAGCTGAGAATCCTAAACATTTTTTAGAGAGCTTCTCTCTGATCACCCTTGATCAGCTCACCACAATAACCCACCCTGGACCCGGAGGTTTTAGCCAACTACAGACCGACATCCAACCTCCCCCTCCTGTCTAAAATCCTGATAGTGTCAGTGGATCACATACAATTTGTCTACTCAGATGCTCTACCATTATTGACAATAATCTCTCAATTCATTTACCTTTCATTATGCTACAAACCATTTCTTCTAATCAATGCTGTAAATACTCTTTCTGACGCTCTCCACTACACGTGGCATCTATTGCACTGGGATCCCTCACATGTGGCTCTACTTGAGGTTTCTACATTCTTTTTCCCCTTGTTGAAGGTTAAGGGGAGACGATGTCACACCTTGTTAAGCCCTATAGACAAATTGTGATTTGGGAATATGGGCTATACGAATAAAATTTAATTGATTGATTGATTGACATAATGGACAAGTGTGTCTATGTGTAAAGTATTTGTATATAAGAAAATCTGTCTTAAAGAGATGAAGGGAGCAGCAATGAAAAAGTAAAAGAGTATTTTATGTCAAGTGGTCTTGTTGTAACCGTTGTTACCGCACACAATAGGTCTGTTGCTGGACAAACTAGGTTTGTTACACTGTTCTTTATGCATTAAAGGTCAGTTCATGTGTCTAATATAATGATTGTAGTACAGTCTTCTTCTACCTGCACAATATTATAAAAATGAGAAATATGCTGTCTTAAAAGAATGCTGAGTAACTAGTC